CCCCCCCCCCCAGCCACATTCTACCCACGGCATCCCCAGGACCAGCACCCAGCCACATCCCACCCATGATGTCCCCAGGGCCAGCACCCATCCATGTCCCACCCATGGTGTTTCCAGGGCCAGCACCCATCTGTGTCCCACCTGTGGTGTCCCCATGCTCACAGCACCCCCATCACCCCCTCCCATTCATATCCCCTTCCAGACTGTGAGCCCCTCCACATTCCCGCCACAGCCCAGCTCCCACATGTGGCTCCGACCCCCTCCCCCAGCAGCACCCACCTATGTCGGCCGTGTTGGGGTGGAAGAGGGTGTTTGTGTAGGTGACGAACTGCAGCTGGCGGTTGAGATGGTCAAGGTGGGCAGCCGTGAGCGAGAGCTGGGACTCGCCCTCACCCTGCAGCACCACACCATCCACCACGGCCGCCACGTCCAGCGTGCCCATCGTGGCCGTCAGGTTCACCTGCAGGGCCGCCAGCGGGTTACAGCTGCCCTGGGGGGTGTCCTCCTCCCCGGTCTCACAGCCAGGACGTGGGCCCCCATGGGATTTGTGTCCTGGTGTAGGACCATGCACCACCACACTGTGTCCATGCAACACAGTGCCATGCTCACACCGTACCCATGCTGGACCATGACAAGACCATGCACGACTATGTTGGGACCATGCAGGATAACATTGGGACCATACAGGATCATGCACAACCATGCTGGCACCATGCATTATCATGCCAGAACCATCCACGTCCACACTGGGACCATGCACAACCATTCCAGAACCACATATGACCATGCCAGGACCATGCACATCCACGTGGGAACCATGCATGACCATGCCAGCACCACGTACCACTCTGGAACCATCCATGTCCACACCAGGACCATGCACAACCATTCCAGAACCACACATGACCACACCAGGACCATGCACAACCATTCCAGAACCACGCATGACCACACCAGGACCATGCACATCCACACCAGGACCATGCATGGCCATGCTGGGTCCATGCACCATGCCAGGACCATGCATGTCCCTGCTAGGACCGCTCACGACCACGCCAGGACCATGCCCATCCATGCCAGGCCCATGCCAGACCCATGCCGTGCCCTCACCTGGTAGGATTTCCTGCCTGCCGCCTGCAAGCTGAGCCCTGCGGAGCCGGAGAGGGAGAAAGGATGAGTGGGGCCCTGCCCCATGCCCCCGTGCCCCACACTACCCCGTGCCTGCCGCGTGGCCCCCGTCCTCACCTGGCACCAGGATGCTCTGCAGCGGCCTCACCTCCACACCCTGGGCCGGGTACTCGAGCGGAGAGTTGGCACGGACCACGAGGAGCCGGTCGGCCGGGGACTGCACCCTGCGCGAGGGGTGAGACCTGGGGCCCCGGGTGTCCCTGCCCCACGCGCTGCCCCACACACTGCCCCCCGCGCTGCCATGCATG